GCTTGATCAAAGCTGACAATATAGGGACTGAATTCGGGAGACGAAGACGAGGACAGCATTGAGCTACCACAGCGACTCAAATCAGGCTGAAAACACCACCTGCTTACAATAAATATAAGCATCGACAGGACTCAAAAAGGGTAGAAAAGCAAAACCAAAAAAACGAATCTGACTGAAACTCACCAGGCTTGTCTTCGGCTTTTTCCAGCTCCTATTCAACAAGCTATTACTGCTAGGAGCCACATCTGCATGGAATAACTCGTCATGTAGAGATGTTCCTATATTTGGATCCGCCTACAACAAAATATTTTCAAGTTTCAAAAAATTGATAAATCATTATTCTTACCCGATATTCCAAATCTCTAGCACGGATCAGTACATCTACATCCTGCTCCTCATGTTCGCCATTGCTGAAGATGTCATCATGACTTTGATCGAGCACTTCACGGATTGCTTCTGGAGGCTGCGTTTCCACTTCCGGTTCCGGGGTCAACTCCTTGACGTTGAAGTACCGAGGATGCTCGACTGGCTTGATAATGTGCTCTGTGTCATGTGGAGGAGCCGTAGACTTCAGTTCTTCTGAACAGATGATTTGAGAAAAAAATTATGGAGTGAAAATTACAACAAAAGAAAACCTTTTGCATCTACAGCTTTTTCGATGCTGTCGGTATTCATGGACTCAATGTGGATTGGCTCATTTTCCTTGCCATCAGGAACTGGTTCATTTTCCTTCCCATCAGAAGCTGTGCTCACACTATCAAGAACGTTTTCTCTGAAAATATGAGGCGTAATCCCTTACAGCGACAGATCCCAAAGGTTTATGGTTAGGACAAAAATGTACTTACCTATGCTCCGACTCGATCCCACTGTCTAACGTTTCTGATTGCTTGGTACGGGTATAAGAGCCGGCAGATGTACCTAACTCAATTGCTCCATCATGCACAGTGCTTGCCTAAACAAAAGGAGGACAATGACACAAGGAATTATCTTGGGAAAATGTTATCGTCGAAACTGACTATAAATCATAATCCAACCTTATAATGCAAAAACCTACCGATTCGCTTTGCGAACGGGATTCCCTTGAATTAGATTCGCTACTACTTCGAGAAGATTTGCGAGGC